AGAGAGAGAGCGAGAGAGGAAGAAAAGGAAAAGAGAGGAAGATCAGAAAGGGAGCGTCGAGGGAAAAGCCCCAAAGGAGCAGAAAACCAAGGCGTAATGGAGCCGTAATTAAATACCACGAATGCCCGTATGTATGTAACTTGACCCCATGTCGCTCACAGACACAAACCGATATCCTATCTGCAGGCGAGACATGAGACTCTCTGTACTCACTGCTGCTGCCTCTGGTTTCAGCAGCATGCTGCCCTGCATCACACGCACATCCTCTGTTTTGACGAGAGCCTTTCTCTGCGCCGAAAAGTGTGCAGCCAGCGCCAGGCGGAAGACAGGCGGTACACGACATTTCCAACCCGCAGAAACGGGTCAGGAGTCAAGAGGCTGAAGTGCGTGCTGATTGGCTGGCCCAGTGCTGTCTCTTGGCTAAATTTGGGTCAGGTCGACCGCCGCTAAGCCTAACTGGGTAAAGTAAGGGGTTGGGTGCTGGCCACTAGGCCGTATCTGGCGTAGCGCAAAGAGTTTAATTGTGGTGCCAGGGAAATCTGCACGAAACTTACCGTACGGGCCTGTTTTGATTTCTTTTTTGGCGGAGATGCTTTGCAAAGCCCATGTCGATCGTCTCTGGTGCTGACAGCCGGCTTTCCAACCGCTCGAGAACGGCCAACGGGTCTGGAAATGAGCAGCGTACGGAGTACCGCCAGCCAGAATTCGGCGAGAAATGTGGGAGCAAGTGCTTGCGGTTGGCAGCCGCGCCTTTCTTATGGACGCAATCGACGATCAGCAGGGACCCGGAAACACTTCCCGCCTTTCATCCAATGTGCGCAAACGTCCTGAAATGGCCGCTCCAACTGCAGACGGCGGCGGAGAACTGGGCACATGACCACTTCTCTTGAGCACCACAGGTTCACAACCACCCCCAGCCAATTCCAACCGCATTGGAGCCCTGCAGATTGCTTGATGAGGCCTGGCTCTCCAAATTTACCAAGCTCTGTTACTCGCGGCGCTGTGCGACGTCGACAGGGAAGAGCTGTTGACAAAAGCGACTTGGCGTATTGACGATTCTGCAACCAGCTGCGGGCAAATCGAACATCAGTTCCCACGTATTTCAAAACCAGGCAAAAGAGAGCACCTGTTTCCCTCGGATGGTTTCACATCTGAGTCTCTCCTCTGCAGTCGCCGTTTCATCTGATTTCTTGATGGCGCACAGCCGTCGGCTCTCCAGCCCACCATGCACGTGGCGTGTGGCGGTGCGGCTCACCAGCCACAGATTGCTGCCAAGCATTTTGATCATGTCAAAAAGACAGTTCAAGGTTCATCACCGAATACCACCGCCTCGGGAGGAAAGATCTCACTTGATTTCCTGAAGCCTGCTTCCAATTGATGAGGCCACTCCCTTTGTCGACGCCGTTCCCAACCACACTTCTGGACCTCCTTCGTGCCCACCATGGCTAGCTCCTCTGATGCTACAAGCTCCGATACCGAGCCTGTGGAGTACCTTGCCACAGCGCGAGCGAGACGAAGCACAGCGGGGAATCATATGAGCACTCTACTCGATGCAGAAGCGGACGACGAGCTGGCACTCCTTTTCGCGGAGGACGAGGAGGATGAGGAATTCACGTTCGGCGAAGAAGAAGGGGAGGGAGATGGAGCAGCGGCCGTGGAATACGCAGACGATATGGAGCTTGATTCCTCATCTGACGAAGAAGATCGCGGCCCCGATTCAAAAGAAGGTGAATTAGAGGGTGAAGAAGAGCTCGAGAAGCAAGCAAGGGCGGAACGATTAGCGAAAAAACGAAAAGCACACGAATCGTTACGATTAACAGCTCTACGCAAAAAGGTCAAGATCGATCCCAATCTCCCCTCTCGTCCGCTTACTGCCGCCGCACCGCGCCAGAGAAAGAAGTCCGAGCGAATATCCTGGCTCCCCACCCCCGAAGATGGACCGACGCGGTCATCCTCCCGGATGCAAACGGTGCGAAACAAAGAGCTTACTCACGCGCGATTAAAAGACAGCGAGCAGCGACGCATCCGACTAATAGCCACGATGGAACGCGCGGCCCAGCGAAAGGAGAACATGAAGTCCAAGCAGATGACACAAGCAGATCGGTTGGCGGAAGCCGCGAAGACGGAACGCGTCAATCGCAAGACGTTGAATCGATGGGAGGAAATGGAGAAGAAGCGGACAGAGGAACAGCAGGCCAGGCTGGAGGCCCTGCAGAATCGTCGACTGGAAGGGCCGGTGGTGACGTGGTGGAGTGGGATTGCGAAATGGATCAATGACCGGCTGGCTCAGGTGGGGATCAAGACCTACGCGCAAGTGGCTGAAAGGGAACCGGTCAAGAGGAAAAAGAATAAGGATGCGGCAGCTCAAGAGCCAACGAAATGTATCCCGGCAAAGACATCGGATCAGCAAGAGCACATTTCCACAGTGCAAGCAGCTCAACCCGAGGGGGGAGCATCAGGGACGGCGGCTCAGCAAGGACTATCCACACGAACGCCAAAAGATCAAGTCCAAAAGCCTCTGGACGATGGCATATCGTTCTTAGATGGGATTCACCTCTACGCCTCTATGAATGATGAAACTATATCCACAGATCATCCTCCAAATATTCAACAACCTAAAGAATTAGAGAGGGAGGGTCAACAGGCGCACACTACTGCAGAACAAGCCACAGATGTTTTACAACCTCCTGGAACAGCAACACTAGCAACTAGCGAGAATGTGCAAGATACCAGAGCCGAAGAACCTACCATACAAACACCTTTGAAACAGCCAACATTGACAACAGGCTCAACAACAGACGTTAAGTCGCCGACTCAATCAGCCACACTCCCAGGATCATCGACAGAAACCTCAGGTCCCCAACCACCACCGAATACCGAACTTTCGCAACCTTTAAAGGCCGACACCAGTCTACTAGTTCCATCCCCTCAACAACCACCCAAGATCGAAACCTCATCTCGCAATTGTATCATTCTCGAAGATTTCGACTCAACCACGCCGCAAGAGCGAAGCGAATACAGCATTCTCTTCAACCCACGTAAACCCCAGAAACTACAAAGTCAGTCTCCCCTCCATAGGCCTTGTTTTCTCCCTCTGTTTGTACTTTGATACCTTGTCGACAAACACTCCTTTTGCTAATCAAACAACTACCACATTCAGAACCCACCCAAGAGATCTGCCCCATAACCGGTCGGTCCGCCCGGTACCGAGATCCCCAAACTGGGGTTTCATACGCAAACGCCCAAGCGTACCGTGAGATCCGCCAAGTTCTGGCTGGGCGATACGCCTGGAGTGGGTTTCTAGGATGCTTTGTGGGTGAACTCGGGGGTGGTGCACGCGGCGTGCCGGAGCGGTTCTTGGCTCCAAACGTGCCTCCACCGCGCGAGATTCTTGTGCCGCCAGCACCCGTCAAGGTTGAAGGAGGCCCGGGGTCGGATGGCCCTCCTGACAAGCCTCCTGTTAGTGTAGGCTCTACGCAGGGTGGTGAAGGAGGGGGATCTAGCGAGTGAGAGATGTTTTTTTTTCTCCTAGTTTTCCTTGCATATCTGGCAATATAGGCGAGATCATCTGGCGGCGATTCATTGAAACCGAAGCGTAATCGAATGAATAACGAATAATGAACAGATTCACGGTATAGTCGATTATACCTGTTTGCAAATGTTTCAAATAATCCTCAAGCACATAAACTCGGGAGGTTCCAGGATGAGGAGGGACGTTGTTTGCTTGTCTTGAATTGGCATTATGCTAGCGATCCTTGCTCAGGCTCGTCATTGCCATTTGGCCTATTGATCCAGGCCAGACGAGAGCGTTCCCCGGAATCGAAGCACCCAGGCGTTTGACCTAGGCAGCGGACTTGCTCTTGGCATCTGATTCTGTAAACGCCCACGGTCCTTTGTCGACACGATGGTACTATGCTGAGGGAGTAAACGGGCGAGACCTCTCGTCCTTCAAACCATACGCAAGGTTCTTAACTTTGTTCTTGTCCATAGATGGTTATACCCGGGAAGATGTCGACCAACTCGCTCAAACAAGACCACGATGCCTGAACCATGAGTTAAAGAAGCCAATCAGGGTTAATCCCGACACCAGCCTTCATGCGAGTGCAACTCTTGTCAAATATATCTCTCACAAGACAAAGTGTCCATGTGGGAGGTGGGCATGCCATCATCTCACGCTGCTCGACAGCCGTAGTCTTTTTATAGAGCTGTGATGCGATAGTGTGGGGCAAATGCCGGCAGTGGCTGTTCCTGTGCTCTGTTCCCCGCGGGGATTGGTCGGATATCAACGGGATTCCAATGCAAAGGAAAACCTGCCTGTGGAGTTCTGGAATCTACGATCAGTTGTGCAAGCCAAAAGACGGTCTGAAGATCGTCATAAAAGGGAATAAGTACCACATAGTACTCGAGATATTATGATACGTGCGGGCTCTTGCTGTCACTCCTTGATGGCGGGGGGCGAAAGATAGAAAAACAGCCCGAGTGATCTGATTGCTCTAGACTTCGCCTATCGTCTAATAGTTTGCCCTTCGATTTTTATCAATTCCGGAACAATCCCACCCGCAATCTCTGGCTATCGCTGCTACTTATCCTCGGATGTTCTCTATCAAAAGCATGATCACAAACGACGTCGCTGCAGATCCATTAGTTGACTAGCTATATATCGAGCAACATTCCCATCACGGTTTCAAATCTAAAACTCACCGGACACGATATCCCACAAGACCGTTATGCGTTGAGCCCGCGTATATTATTTCTCTTGAGCTCGTCCCAGGCAGCCCACGGTTACCTTAGCATGCACTGACAACATCCCTGGAGCCAGTGGTCGCGTGCCCGTTCTTCCGCCGCCTTAATATATCAACTCTGTCTGGGGAAAGATACATCTCAACATCGGCTCTCGATGATCTTGCGCCTCTGAATCCCGCTGATTTCGCTTTTTTGTTCTTTCTCGTCTGCCGATATATATATATATATATATTTGATAACGATGTTGCTATGAATTCCTCCTGGAGAGTTTCGGGGAGTGGTTCTTGCCGAATAGCCACCTGCTAGTCAGACGGAAGGAGGCATCCGGGTTAAGGAAGTTGAAGGACTGTTAAGCAGGAAAGAGAAGGAGGAGGGCAGGGGAGAAGAAGCAGAAGGGGAAAGGGCGCTGCTGGAGAAGAAGATGGCCGCTAGTTTTATCCAATTCTGGTAAGACACCCTGGTCTGTTTTGGGAAATATGTTTTCGTTGCCTGCCCTGCACCGCGTCTTCTCTTTCTTGTTTTGGGTCAAAAGACCTTCCTGTTACTTCAGACAACACAACTGACAACGTCATTCTTCTTCTGCTTGTCTAGCGCCACGTGTGAGAACCAGATCACCATTCCAGACAACGCGATCCTCTATTGCAGCACCAGGTACGAGACGGCTGCCTTAACCTATCCGTTCTTTCCGTTCCATGGCTCACATCCCCCCCCTATTCTAGGTGCCGGAACGCAGATACCCTAAAGCCGATTGCACTCTCACTCCAAACCCTGTCATCCTTCACATATCCCAAGATAACCCCGTGTTATCGCCCATCGACGCGTCCAAAACCACCAGCCAAAATGGCAACTGCACAGAAAGCCCCCTCCCTCTCCATCTCACCGCCCACCCAGTGTTCCGAAACCCAAAAGGTCACAGTCAACGGGAAGCTCACCCCGTCCTCCGACGAGACGACGCCCAGACCCGACAGTCGCCGCACCAAGCGCTCCATCGAGTCCACGGCCGCGTACCGTTTTCTCCTGCAGTTCCAGCGCAACGCGGATGGGGGCAGTAGTGCCGATAACGCCTCTTGTTCCGCAAGTATTCCGTCCAGGACCTCGTCTCCGTCTCTGACGAGCGCGAGCAGCGATTTTGATATGGAGAGGCCCGCCGGTAAGGATGATGTTTTGTCTCTGCCGTCTCTGAGTACGTCGGCGGCGACGGAGACGGTGAATGGATCGTTGGAGACCAAGTACTCTGTGTCTGCAGCGGCCATGGGGAAGAATGTTGGGCAGCGGACGGAGCCGAAGATTTATCAAGGCAAGTCTGTTTGACGGGCTTGGACTGTGCTAACTCGAAATGAGTTTGAGGAGGTGGTGGAAACCTATGCTCATGAAAAGATTTCATGCTTTTATCCCCCCCTACTTGAGATGGCGAGTGTATGCCTCTCTTCATACCAGTGATACCTTTTTACTTGTATCATTCCTTAATCAATAGACTTTAAGACTTTGCAAACGAATGATTTGCCAAAACTCGCTAACACATTTGTGGAGAACAAGTGATAATAGATTTTTTGATATTCAATCCTCTAGTTCTATGCCGGATAAGTTTATGGGAGATATCAACGCTCATGGGGTGCATCTGCCGGTGAAACGGGGGTAGAGACAGCATTCCCGAACCGTGTATCGTCCACACATCCACGCCAGGAATCGTTCCAGCCCCAGTCCATAGCCGCCGTGAGGAGAGGTTCCGTATCTATCCAGAGTCAGCATTGACTGGTCATTCAACCAAAATCAGAAATAGAATGTCGACTTACTTTCTCTGATCCGTATACCAGTAGTATGGGCTGGGATCCATCCCCTGCCTAGCATACGCATCCATCAACTCATCCCAATCATCCATCCTCATACTCCCGCCCACAATCTCCCCCACACCCGGCATCAACACGTCCACGCTCTCCGTGACCCTCAAATCCTCCGGGTCCTTTTTCATATAAAACGCCTTGATCTCCACGGGGAAATGCGTCAGGAAGATCGGCTGGTTGATGATATCCGTCATCTTGCGCTCCGCCGCCTCGGCAATATCGTCGCCAAAGGTGTGCGGGGTGCCGTCTTCGTTGGGGATGTTGTGTTCGCGCAGCCACTCGATCGCTTCCGCGTACTTCATGCGCTTAAAGGGCCGGCTGGGCGGGGTGAAGGACGGGTTGAGGGCCTTGATGGCCGCTGCGGTCTGTGGATCCGCCAGCACGAGATCGATGACCTGGCAGACGATGGCTTCGATGTGGTCGAGCAGGTCGGTGAAGGTGATAAAGTCCAGTTCGGCTTCGATGTGAGTGTACTCGGAGAGATGGCGGCGGGTGAGGGACTTTTCGGCACGGAAGGACGGGCAGACGCAGAACACGTCGCCGAGGGAGGGGAGGCAGGTTTCGAGGTAGAGCTGGGAGGACTGCGTGAGGTAGGCGGGCTCACCGTAGTAGTCGAATGAGAAGAGAGTGGCGCCGCCCTCGACTTGCGTCTGCACCATCGCCGGGGGGGTCACTTCGAGCATGCGACTCTTTTCGAAAACAGCGCGAAAGGCACGCAGAACCGCAGCACGCACTTTCATCACGGACGAGGCCGTTTCGCCGCGGAGGACGAGGTGTCGGTTGTCGTAAAGCGTCTGGGGGTCAGCGTCGGGCGCCACGCGGGTCGAAATGGCCTCCTTGTCGCCGGCGGCTTTGCCAATGACCTGGAAGAAATCTGCATGCAACTCTCTGTTGTCAGGGGCGTGCTGCTTGGGTGGAACGGCGCGCATCTCTCCGTGGATGGCAAGCGATGTCTCCAGCGTCAATGTCATGGCGTCGTACGACTTGATGAGGTTGCCAGTAAAGACGCATTGCAAGAGGCCATAGCCATCGTACAATGTCACGAATATGATGTCCTTTTGCACGCGTAGGTGGTGGATTCTCCCCAGAACCCGGACTCGTGTGCCCTTGGTCTCGCCGTCGCCCGCGGTGACCTTTGCGGGGTCCTTCTCGTCCAGCCTGACCTTGACGGCTTTTGGCAGCGACTCGTCCTCCTTGATAACCACCTTCTTCGCTTCTTCCAGCACTAGCCGTCTCTTCTCCGCCTCCTCCTTCTGGCGAAGAACCACCTCGTGCTCCTTGGCCGCTTTCCGCTTCCTCGCCTCATACAGACTCGTGGCTTTCTTCATGGCAGATTTGGTGGCTGGTTTCCACTCGAGTCGGACGGACGGATCGCCATCTTCGCTCACGGGGCCGGTTTCGGATTTTCGAGTGAGGTATTGGATGTTCTCGGTGGATGGGGGGTATTGCAGCATGGCGTAGACGAGAGTCTTGTAGGGGGAGAGGTCGGTGCCGGCGGCAGCTTCGTCGTCGCGGCCCACATCCTCGTCAATGTAGATGGGCGCCATTATTCTGGGGGGAATATCGTCCAGCAATTGCTTGTCGTGTGTGTTGGCTCTTCAAGGTAGGGCGTTGTGGGCGCGGATGGACTGAATTTTTTGGTGGTTAAACCCCGCCATTTTGGGACGTGATAAGCACTCTTATCGGCCATGAGTCACCGCAGGATCGCCCGCCAACAAACGTGATGGATGGCCGTTTACGGAATATGGCTTACGGGATAAGGGTCTATAGCAAGTGCAGTGGCCTATACGGTCGGGCTAGCTACATAACAGACGGTCCACTGGCGGATGGCGGATTGGATTTGAGACCGTTGGCAAAGGAGGTCATTCTGCATGAACAAACGGATTTGTGAAACGCGCCTCACCGTTGCTCTCGTCGAAGATGAATGAGATCAGAGGTCGAGGTGTGCGCGACTTCAGACCGAAGATGCATCGCTGGGCCAATCTTACCTCAAGATCCCAACCACTGTGATACAGCGGCAGTCCAGTGGTGGAGAATGAAACGCCGTCGAAAACGACTCCTCAGGAGCAGACAGCCGTCGGACCATTGACAAAAGTGCTCGACTAGTGTATCAGCATCGCAACAATCCGCTTGATCAGTCCCCCAGAGACGGTCCCCTTGCCCAAGCATTTTCTTGTCCTCGACAGACGCTGGAGAGAGTCGGTGTCGTTCGAGAGACTTTGCAGCCAGCAGATTCAAACATGGGTCACTGCACGTTGAGCCCAATGTCGTCTCGAGACTCGAGGGCCGAAATTGGAACGGCAAGGGAGCATGCAGCGTCCTTGCGTTGGCTGCTGCACAGAATTGACAGACATGACATCTGGGGCTCGTACTCGTGAAGACGAGGATGATTCTCTTCTAGAAGCAGAGGGCCGTGGCAACTATATTAGGATTTACAAGATTCACAGGGGCAGGTCGAGGAACAGTGCAGTTGATCGAGACTCATTGGCGTTGTGGCCAGCGAGACGGCCGAGCCCAGCCCACAACGGCCTTGAGAGCGAGTTGGTGAATGTTTCAGGGTGCAGCGAGTGGATGTGCACCTGGGCTTGGACCCCGGCCGGGTGATAGCGAACTAGCTGGATCATAATAAGAAAGTTTCAAAAAAAGGACTTTTGCCCAGCGTAATCACAGCGGCCGAGTTATAGCAGGAGGGTGATATTGGAGATGCCAGCGGGTGACAGGCAGCGGTTGAGAGGCTAAAGTCATCGCCATCATTCACGGTCATTTTTGACTTCATCAACCACAATCCGCTCTTCCTCTCGCTCTCTCTCCCTCTCTCTCTACCATCCAGCTCCTTAATCTGTTTCCCTTGTCCCGTTGATCTTCGCTTCCGATTCTCACCACCGGCTGAGCTTTATCCATCCCATATTCATCATCTCCTTTTTTACTTTGTTCACGGCCACTGCGTCCCCGAGTTTGAGCCGCCAGTCCCGACTTCTTTGCCTTCAACCTCTTTGTCTCGACGACACGCTGGTGGCTTTCGTTTCGCTTCTTCGCCTGGCTCTGCGTTGCTTTCCAGCCCGTCAACGGCCACTCGATAGACTTTTAATGCCGGATTCATTCTTCTGAAAGGGGCTACTAACTACTGTAAGCCGCTGTCCACTCCCAAGCCCCCATCCAAGACATCCATTCTCCCAGCCCATCACGCATCCCAACCTCTTCTGCTCTCCGTACGATCCTTGACCCCGCTGTCTCTCATGTATTCTGTGCGATTCGTGGCTTAGAAGGGCGCTCACAGCTGCTGCTCTCTAGGTTAGGATTCCCTAGCCGTTGTTCTGCCTGCGACAAACTTTGGTCCACGGATCCCCGAAGCTACGGCGTTGAAGCTTGAGCCCTATTATTCCTCGCGACCCGTCGTGACCGATCCACCTTTCACCTCGATCCTACGCCATCGTCAACCCCAATAATCAATCGTCCTCCTATTCCATCATACACTTCTCGCTCCGGAATCGTGGTTCCAGGCTTGTTTAATCTCTATTCTTTGCAGCAAACGGGAAGCTTATTGGTTTAATGGTGTTGTCAGTCACCCGTCGGCGCATTCTTCACCTTCTTCTCCACGTTTCCAGCCACTGAACCGATTTTTCTTTCTCAGAAAGAGGCCATAGATTTTAAACGAACAACCCGGATCGTTCTTATCCGAACGGCAGATATTCACTTTTAATCTGTAATGGCACCCTCCGCGCGGCCAGATGGCCATCTCAACCTTGGCTACCTCCCTACGGGCCAGCCACGTTCTGGGACATCGACTGGAAGCTCTTCCCCAAGCGAACTACAGACAAACTCGATGAAATCGGCATTTGGAGCAGCGAATGGCCTAGTTACTGCGGGTGGATCAATCGGAAGTGCGAGAAGGACGGCTGGTTCCCCTTCCCACGAACTCAGCGCGCGGATTTATTCGAAACGGTAAGTGCAAGACTGTCACCCCCCAGAACCGAAAGGCAGGACTTTCTAACTTCTCTGTTCTTTCCTCCAAAATAGGGCTAGAGAAATCCAAGCTCAAGAAGGCGTCACTCCAAACATCTGGGGCCCTCCCACAAGCGGAAACTCAACTCCGTTGAGAGAGAACATCCCGGAGTCTCCGGGTCAAGACGAATTTCCAAACTTGATCCCGCTAACGGAACCAAGTATTCAAAGCCCTGCAAGGCGGACACGAGCAGATACGGTCCCTTCGCGGTTCTCTCCAGTTGGACCTCTCAATGGTGTTAATGTCCAGCCATCCATCATCTCCAAAACCTCAAGGCCAACCCCATCCACCAGCCCATTTCGTCCACCCGGGCTAGAGACTCCAAGAACCTCAGCGCCAGGAAGTGGAGCACTCCTATCTCGACTCCGCGCAGGGTCAATGCCGCAACGCACTAATATCCTTGGAGGTGCCAGCCCTTTTGGCCCCTCTGTCTTCTCGACCAACTGGACATCCAGCCGCGACCGCGCCTCGACTCTGACTAGCATCCGATCTTCAGAAGGGCCCACATCCCCTACGCAATCCTCTTTCTCGAGAGACGGCCTAGCGGACGCTGACGTGAAGACTTTGGACTACCTTGGCCTCGCAGAAACCCCACAGCAGTCGAGAGCGACCCTGGCCCGTCCGCCCTCAGATATGATGATGCAGCAACCACAACAGCAACAGCAACCCTCCTCTTTGCCTCCACTACTTGAACTAAGGATTCTGAATAGAGGCGCAAACAGATTCCGTTCATATTCGGTCAATGCAAAGGAAAAGTACGCCGAGGATGAAGAAGAATTTGGCGCCCATTATTCGAGCATACCATCCGGGACCATCACGCCATCTGCAGCAGCTACTGCAGCTCAATTGGCCGCGACCCAGGCGCAAATCCATCAGCATAATCTCGCAGTCCAAGCGTTTGCTAGCCAAGCATCTGCAAGTAGGCCCCGAGCTCGTACTGCGGGCGTGCTGGACACTCCACCTCAACGCTCCGCACTCCGCAACTACTTAGCCACACCTTCGAGGCTGGATAATGGCCTTAGCGCTGCCGATATACGAATTGCAGAAGCAGGCGAATTTGACGAATTGCAGGAATCCGTTCAACTAATGCAATTGGGAGGCCTTGGAGCATTACGACCAGGCCAAGAAGGAGCTGATGAGAACAACCTCGAAGGACCAACTCGGGCATTATGGATTGGGAGCATCCCTGTTTCGACCACCGTCACATCGTTGGATGCAATTTTCAGCATGTACGGCAAAATCGAGTCGACTAGAGTTTTAACCCATAAAAACTGTGGGTTTGTGAACTTCGAGCGCGTGGAGAGCGCAATTCAAGCCAAATCACTTTTAAATGGGAAAGAAATCTTCCCTGGCGCTGGGCCCGTCCGTATTGGCTATGCCAAAGTTCCTGTGACGCCAACGTCTGAAACTCCTGGCCAAAGCGATCTCCAGTCATCTCCCACTCCCGACCCTCATGCTTCTACTCAGCCAGGCGACGGCCCCGGTGGTTCTGGAAAGGAAGATGGACGTCCAGATTCTCCGAAGATACCGGAGCTCCCCAAATTATTACCAGAAATGACTCAAATTGTTGCCGAATTCGGTGCTACAGAAGCTGAATGCTGTAATATCAGCCAGAGCATCCAACGGGCGATCGAGTTCCAGGCGTTTAACGATGAAATCTCCGCGACTCCTGAGCCAAACCAAACACGAACTTTCGATGCCCCGAAACTTAGAGACATCCGCAAGCGGATTGACAACGGGGCTTGCAGCGTCCAAGAGATCGAGGAAACAGCGAAAAGTATGCTTCCTGAAGTTGCAGAATTATCTTCAGATTATCTGGGCAACACCGTTGTGCAGAAATTATTTGAATTTTGCTCTGAAGCTACAAAAGAAGAGCTGCTCGTTCCCATTGCCCCTTACCTTGCAGAGATTGGCGTACACAAGAACGGCACTTGGGCTGCTCAGAAGATCATAGACGTAGCAAAGACACATACGCAGAAGCAAATGATCGTGGAATGCCTGCGACCGTACACGGTTCCACTTTTCCTTGATCAATATGGCAACTATGTTCTGCAGTGCTGCCTTCGCTTTGGATCCCCCTATAACGATTTCATTTTTGAAACGATGCTTAGTCGGATGTGGGAAATTGCCCAAGGGAGATTCGGTGCTAGAGCGATGAGGGCCTGCCTGGAGAGCCACCATTCGACAAAAGACCAACAGCGAATGCTCGCATCAGCTATTGCACTCCACAGCGTCCAGTTGGCAACTAATGCAAACGGAGCATTGTTATTGACATGGTTTCTTGATACCTGTACTTTCCCCCATCGTCGGACCGTTCTCGCTCCTCGCCTTGTTCCCCATCTGGTGCATCTTTGCACCCACAAAGTGGCTTATCTGACAGTCTTGAAAATTGTTAACCAGAGAAATGAACCGGAAGCTAGGGAGATTATTCTTAAAGCACTATTTTTCAGCCCAGGTGATGAAATATTGGAAAACATTCTGAAAGACCAGGTGTCCGGTGCGACACTGATCTTCAAAGTTCTTACGACACCGTTCTTCGAGGAAACTATGCGTGCTGAGGTGGTGAAAACCGTAGCAAAGGTTCTTATCAAACTAAAAACCTCACCAAGCCAAGGATACAAACGCCTCATGGATGAAGTTGGGCTTTCATCACGGAATGGCTCTTCGCGAGACTCCCACCATGCCAGAGATCATGCGAGTGGACATCATGAAAAGAACCAAGGACGGCAACCCCCAAGGCAACCCGCAGCGAATTCCCAACACCCGCACGATAGACAATACAACGGACAGTTTTCAGCTAACATGCCTCCTCAATCCTACAACTCTCCTGCTGCCATGACTCGATCACTTTCACAAGAACAAGGCCTTCTCCCATATGACCCGTATTTACTTGGTGGAATAAATGCTCAAGGTGGGCTTGGCCAATTCAACACTATGAATAATGGCGGCTTCGGTCCGGATCCTGTCAACCCGCTGAACCCCCAGTTTCAGTATCAAGCCTTTCTAGCAGCTCAATCCCGTGGGATGTCTCCACAAGGCGGATTCTATCCGACAATGCCGACGAATGCTTTCAACGGTTATGCAACTAATGCTGCAACGATGGACACCTTCCGTAACATGCAAAATCATTCATCTCCGATTCCTGGTCCACCAGCTCAACTCGCCACAAACCCTATGATCCAACCACCAGCGTTTGCGGCCGCTCCCCAATTTAGCCCAATTGCTACTCCAGTTATGGGCGCTGGGCAGCTGTATGGTTATCCACAGCCATTTTACCAACAAGGACAGGCTTCGCACGGTTCTGTGCCAGGAGGACGCCGTGCACGCGTAAGTGCTCCGATTGGCTCTACGCCATTTAGCTAGAGGGACCCCCTGACTGATAGTCGTGTACAGAGATAAAGGAGACCAATTAGCATAGCAGTGGCTTCTGTTTGGAATACTAAGTGACTTTCATATGTCGGAAATTTTTCTCCATATCTTTCTATTCTCAAGTTCTTGCAATGGGCTTTGCTTCTGAAACAGGGACAAGTGATTGAAAGCAAAGCACCTTGAGCCGGCCTTTTTCTGTTTTTCACACAGTTCTTTTCACTTCTTGCCGATTTTTGTTCTTTCTTCCATCCTGCGGAGGATTATTCATGCCCCTGGAGTCATTTTGTGCGTGACATTATTTCCTACAAACCAAGGTCCAAAATCATGCAGACCGGAAAAGTCATCCTTCAATTGCAATCAACTTTACAACATCCAAGGGCCGCGGGAACACACATATCAACACACATGTCCACTCTTCGCTTCATTTGAAACCTAGTCCTTCAACCTTTACCTATGCATTGGCGCTGGAACGTCTCAAGGTTTTATGACAGAAAGACCATTCCATTTTTCTTCTTTTTAAATGTCTACCTAGTTTGCCTTTTTTCCTCCTTTGCTCTGATAAAAATATTGGTCAGGGCATTATTTAAAAACTCTCTGAAAAATATCCTTTTTCCATTCGAATTTGAAATGTTAAATCTCTAAAAACCGTTTTTCTTTTATCCTCTGCTTCTTCTTCTGGAATGTATGTATGTATGCATGTGTTATACTTCTTCATCTGCCCCTTGTCTGATATAACTATATATATTTGTTTTTTTAAAACTTAGTCTCCAGAGAACAGATATTTTGCATCTAAAGGAAATGAGAAGCTACGCAGTCCATCAGAACTCTCTTCCTCAATTCAATAAATTTACCCAGGCATTCCGCATGTGGTATGATGGCCTACATGTCGAGAATATCTTTGTGAGTCTGATGAGATATCTCAATGAAATTCTGGGTTTCATGAACTGGCAGGATGTTCTAAAACTGTATGTTCTTGACTTTGATGGTCCGCCTCTTGAGGGCCTTCATCACTGTCCGTCCTTGAAAGGAACGCAATACTCCGTATGCGTGGTCGTAACACCGAAAACCTTTTAGGACCGAAAAGGCCCAATGTGTAGATGGAAGGTTGGATTACGGCAAAGACGCGAGATGCCTCGTAGCACGAATAAAAAGGTCGAATCGAAAGCTCCTGACGGAAAGAAGTACTGGAAGGAATCACTAAAGGTATTATGCAGTGGCAGAAGGCGGCAGCAAGCCGCACAATGGACTCTTGTGTGAGGAATATGCAGGTTCCTTCATTGCAAGGCGAGCTGGTAAATTTTGCTGTTGGAGAATAAAGTCCCCCTCGCAGCCAGTATGAGAGCAACAAGCCATAACGGCCACGACGCCCTTGAGGCATGCAATGGCGTGTGGTTCGAGTTGTGTCCAAAGTCGGGCTATGGTTGTCGTCGAGAATCGAGATGGAGTTTGTCGCCGGTTGTTTGCATTGATTGCATCATTGGTCGCCAATGTGCTTGTCGCGATCATATTTGAGCTGATATCAAACCGCCTGCATGGAAAATGGCTATGAATGATAGCCTGGTGCCTACAGGCTCACAGGGGCACTCAGCAACTCTCTATCATAACGACTCTCGGACTGTATACCTGATAGATATCCCGACTTCGATTAGCCTGGCCCAGCTGAAACCGTCCAGCCAGAGGAAAGCGCCAGAGCACCTAGATATACCTTTGATATTCTCTGCACCACCATTAGAGAGCCCATACTCTGGCCCATCGGCTGAGCCGAAGAGGCCAAAGGGCATATCGAGGGTGATGGAGCATATTCCGGCTGGCGAACTAGAATATCGCCGGCAAACAGCGGCTCTAGTGAATGAAGCCTTACGGGAATTACGGAGCCATCATACTCAGGAATGGTGTTTGCCGCGAGTCATCACACCTGAGTATCTGCGGAAATCATCTAGGGAGAATCGAGTCCAGGGTGGTCGAGCCGCTGAATCAACTACTCATGATTCAGGCGCGACGATTGAGCCTGATATAACAGCTCATGCGCTTCCAAGGAGCCAATATGATATCCCTCTTTCCGAGGATATGCCCCCTGTTATTTTGGCCCCAGGGTTGAATATAATCCCTGATTTTGATTTCATTCAAGGAGTACTCGTGAGGAACCCGTCTTTTGCTCCGGCCACGTTACGCATTGCAAATGCACCATGCTTGGCCAGGGGCAGATCTTTAAATTACGATGTGAAGAATACAGCCAGTCATGACCAAATAACATTCAACATTCCGCCGGCAGCAGATTTTGTTCTTACACACATATCAAACCCGTCAGCTTCTTCGATTCTCCCTCCCCCCTTGGCAGGTGCGAGGTTCGACTTCGTTATCATGGACCCTCCCTGGCCGAACCGCTCTGTTCGCCGATCAGCTCATTATCAAACAATTCCACACTTCCACAGCCTTCAAAGACTGATTGCGGGAATCCTAACTTGTCATCTTGATGGAGGAGGCATCGCCGCTCTCTGGACAACCAACGGTCACAGATCCCGCTCTGTTGCTCGCGAAGCATTCAGGGCAGCCAAACTACAGCCGTTTGAAGAATGGATTTGGGTCAAAACGACAACCAAAGGCCACCCGGTTTCCCCGGTTGATGGACTATGGAGATTACCGTATGAAGTATTGATCTTAGGGAAAAGGCTGCCTGACGCAGGCCACGTAAATCATCCGGTTAAGCGAAGAGTGATTGCTGCGGTGCCGGACATTCATTCTCGGAAGCCGAATTTGAAAGAAATGACTGAGCAGATTTTCTTCACGTCTCACAATGTGGCGGATGGAGAGAGCGGCATAAAGGAGTATAAGGCGCTGGAGGTCTTTGCCCGAAACATGACAGCAGGATGGCTGTCTTGTGGAGATGAAGTACTGCGATTCAACTGGGATGGATGGTGGGCAGATTCAACCCCTTCTTGAAAGGGGTAGGTGCTCCTGAGAAGGGACCTTGGCTACTATCTACAGAATTTGGACGCCTACGTATTGGTAGCCTCGATTGCGGTTTGAGTTTCCCCGTCGTTTCTCAGATTCAATCATCCAAAATTGCACGTTTTGCCGATGGTTAGGGATCCAAAACGATAGGCACAAATCAGTCAAAGAGCGGCCCCAAACTCACAAGGCTAAACCTCAAATCACCCGCACCGCCAGCCGCTTCCGCCTTCAAGAATCGCCTCACTCCCGCATCGAGTGCCTTCTCACTCAGCATATCTTCTCCTTCCTCCAGCACCCCCCTATCCAACGGCCCCTTTCTCCGCCCATCCAACTCCCACAGCCGCCCATCATCCCCCTTTACAAAACACACAAAATGCAAATCCACATTCGCCTCCGCATCGGGTGCCGTCGTATCCCCCCTCTTCGCCGCGTCCGCATGCGCACTCTCCAATGCCGAACTCTCATACAACAAATCCGCCCGCCGAATCGGATCCAACGGCTCCGCTTGGCGCAGGAGCGTCTCGAGATCAGACCCCGGAGTGACGTGCTTCCGCGGCTCTCCGTTCGAGACCGCGTGCAACAGCCCGATGAGGCCGCACGCGTTGCGGATCGTTTGTTTGAACCACGTTATCGGCTCGGTGGGGCCGGAGCCGGTGTAGTCGGGTTTGGAGGAGTCTTCGGCCATGCGGGCGGACTCGTAGGCGGGCGAGACGGGGAAGACGAGGAGGAGAGCGTGGGAGGGGCGGGGGACGAATGCGAGGAGGTCGGGTTCGTCGATGCTGTAGACGTCTGTGAAGCCGAGGCTGCGGGGTAGGCCGAGCTGGTGAACGAGATGGGACATTACTTCGGGGTTGTTTTCTGGGTTGAGGTAGTTTAGCATGCAACCCCGTCTTAACCCGTGTGAAGAACTGTGAAGCGGGGGATTTACCAAGGGGCACAAATGCTTTGGCATTGCTAGGGCAGTCTGGATTTTCGGCCATTTTGAAAGAGCGAGGATGGGGATCTCTGGGGAAAAGACGTAGCAGTGGATGCTTTCTGGGATTCTGGAGCGCTTCTCGCGATCGATTTTGATTCTCCAACAATTCTCAAGGCAGCAGTTTGCTAATTGCGGGACATGCGTCATAATGCAAACAGTGCAAACAGAACCCCTATGTCAGACGATGGTTGGACGAAGAGAGTACGGAGTAGAATCTGCTTATTCCTTTTCTATATTGGTATCTACGTAACGAGGCTTGCGATAGAAGAGAGATGACAATGCGAACCCATTACCCAGAATTTGGCGTGATGCCTTGCTTCAAAGGCCCGAAGATTTTCGCCCAGAGCTCGCTCGATTCGCCCAGGAAGAAAGAGAGTGACACATCTGCCATGCTTGCATCCGGACCTCCCGCCATCGTCTCCAACTGAGAAATCAAATTCTCTAAACCAAAGGCCTTTCCGGTGGATTGCGTGGTGCCGGCTTCCAGCATGACATTCACGACATGGATATGAAAGTGATAATAGGTCGGATGGTCTTGACACAAGGCAAAAGAACATGAGTCTAGTTAACCAGAGAAGTCGTGGATAGGGGCGTCAGCGGTCATCACTTACAATGCACATACAGCTTCAACTGATCAGCCTCGAGCTCCGGGTACACCTTGGCAACTGCATCGAGCAGCTTACGGCGCATATGCGTCAACCAGGCCACATGGGACTTTTTCAAATCCCTCAAACTCCAGATATCTCTCCTCTCCACCAAAGCCAGCAGGCGTAGTGTACCAATTGTCTTCCTGTCCCAGTTGAGATCCGGAAGGAGCAGAAAGCCTTCTTCTGGGTCAGATTCTCGATATAGGACATCTTCCTGCTCCTTGCGGCCTTCAATTATATTGTAGACCCAGTTCAAGCGTCCGTTTCCCCGCTTCTCCTGCATATACGGTCTGACATGTTTCTGGTAGACATCTGGGGTTTCGGTGACCATGCGAACATTCTGGGCGGAGTATTTCAGAATATGCTGCTCGGTGCAGGGCCAGATGAGGTTCAGCTTGAGATCAGGCGGGTTGACATGATTCTGGCCTGAAGAAGCCATATACCAGCGGTAAATGTCATTGGCGCCCAGGTTGACAACGTTACTCAGTGCGCCATGGAACGCTTTGAGGGAGTCGAGGTCAGCGACAAAGGCGGCTCTCTCGACGACGAGGATGCCGGGCTGTTCGTCTATGGAGCCCAGAATAGAGATGCGGCGGTCATTTTGGTCTGCCGGGGAGTCAGGTTATAGTCAGCGGGCATCCACACAAGGCATCACTGTGGAGGTGTCAGTGGCTCTCAACGGGTTGTTGAGTATCTCCAAGGGTACGCTTGCGGTTGCTACAGACGCGCTAACCTTGATTGAGGAGCTTCTCAACTCTGAACCTGGGGATTAAGCTCTCTGCCGCGGACCTGTCTGCCATTGTCTGGTCTGGTTTCGCAGCTTCAGCACCCTTAAGGTTCTCAAGAGGTGCTCGTTCAAAGCGTGGGGGGCACCAAACCCTCATATGATTACTAAGAATGCCAAGCGAGCGGGACTCAAGAAAAGACGCTGATTGGTGGGGGCTTTACTTGGACCCGCCTCAGTGGCGCAGACCCACCGGGACGGGACGCACAGCTATTTGTCATCAGTCACAGCCACAGAGTGGCAGCCAAGAACTACGAAAAAGAACTCCAGTCCAACAGGAAGCCACACCAAAAACATATCAAGAACGCCCGGCCACCTGCTCACGGTTCATTCGGTCTCTGACAGTAAACCGTGTAGCTTCGGTGCTGGTCAGTATCACTTACTCAAAGATGGAATGTGTGTTGGCTTACAAGTCATACAAAAGATGGAGCGATCGATCTTTCAAATCCTTGCGCACATCGACCAGAAGCAGTTCCAACTCGGGCTTGGACCATCCCAGGTAGTTGAGGAAGATCCTATTACTAAAGCCTTGCAGATTCTCATATAGTTGCGTCCAGTTGAAGAGGCCGATTTGCTTCTATTAGCACAGCATCAGTTGTTTGATCAGCGGCAACAAGAGCATGTGACTACATACCAATTTGGGATCTTTTGGCCAGGTGCCTATGGGGACGGGAGTCTTCACTACGGAGATGTTCACGAAACCTGCTTCTCGTGCCCATGCTTCTAGACTACGCCCTGGGCGAAGTGTGCGGCCAGTTAGCTCTTCGGCTTCCTGGCCGAGGATGAGCCAACGACGAAGAGCAGTATCCCTTTGCGATGAGTCATCTTGGGAGTAATAGTCGACGTTGAAGTCTTGGAATTCAACCCATCCGCCGGGTCGAACGCCGCTGAATCACCGTTAGCTTTTAGAGTTGAAAGATGGAGGTGTCAACGCAGTCGAAGCGGTCCCTCACAGAAATTGTATACTGACTTGAAACAATTCTTCATGAAACCTGGCCAATCCTCAATAGACCCTGCCATGTATCTGGAATGGATGTAATCAAACTTGTGCGGGAATCCCCATTCGTCCTCCACGTCCCATATTTCAAATCTCAAGTTTGGGGGAACCATTGATGGGAGTGTTGGGCTCAGATCGACACCGATAACTTCTGTGGACGGGTACTGATCCGCGAAGTCGATGCACCAGATACCGCTTCCGGCACCGATATCCAAGCAGAGCCGGGGACTTTTTCCAATGGGAGCAAGGTGGAGTTTGCCGTCGTGCATCAGGGAGATCATCGCATGCATAAGATCCAGCCTGTCGAGCTCGGTCTATCACGCAGAGAAGTCAGGGGCGAATTGTTCCGGACGGCGAGTCGAGAGATGGGCGATGTTAAACTTACTTCATCGTTGGGCCGGGAGTAAACTGTTATATGATATTTCAGCCTCTGGATCTAAAGTGAATGCAAGTGGCATGCCGCTGCTTACTGCCATGCTTGTACGCATGGTATCGCCTCCCATACTCGATCGGGTACTTGGTGATATTCGAGGTGAGGGCCATGGTGGAGGAGAACATGGAGCTATCGTCGATCATCCAGTCATTAGTTCATGCACCAAAACCAGAGTGACAAGGTATGAAATAGCCCAGAGAGTCAGGCATAAACAGGGAGTGAAGCGAGTCGAAGAAGCCTTTCGAGAAACGACGACGGAAAAGGGGTTCAATGAAACTGGATGGTTTCGAGTTCGGATATCCAACATACTCCTGGTCAGACCCTTCATCTTCCTCGACCTCAATGGGGCTATATTCGTCGTGTGATGGCGACATGGTTGTCTGAGACTGATCCAATCCGAATATGGCGCGTGAAAGTAGTCAGTTGCGGGAAATAGCTGATTTCTGCCGGTGGGAGAACCTCGATACGAAGAGATCAAAGAAAGTAAAAGTGCCCAATGTCGCTCAGAGAGGAGACTTTGAAATATAGAAGAGGTTTTTGGAGTTGGGACGAATAAATATCATTCAAATTTCGCCAACGAGGCTCACGGAGCTAACGCTCTAGTCCTGCAGCAAGACAGGGATTCGACGCCGAGCGGACAGATTGTCGGGTCGTCTCAAAAAGCCACATTCCACCCCCAACCTCTAGCCCATGGTCCCATGGAACGGTTGGGCGAAGACGGTTTCGGCCAAAGTTGGATGATTGGGAACGGGGGAATGTGCTCGTTTGGACGGCATGACCATTATTGGACGAGGTTAATGTCTGATCTCGACCCTGCAGGGCTGCAAGGGTGGTCCCAAATGAGAGGAACAGGTTTGACAGGGTTGTCCCGAGCGCAGGGATCGAAAAGCCATGGATGACGGATTGCAGGTGTGTCCCTGCAGGCTGCAGCTGCATTGGGTCTGATGGTGATACAGAGTACATTGGGCTACGGTAACGGGGTCGGAACAAATGCTTTTGTCAAATTTGATACCGGCTTCGTCTATGAGAATGGATACCATGGAAAAGATAGTGGTTGAGATTTGGGCGACCCGCACTCCGTAACTCCTACAGAGTATTAACGGCCTGAACATGGATTTAATGTTTTTTTGCTTTTCTGGATAGGTGGAGAAAAGTATCTGGAGAGCTTTGCCCGTGACGATCATCCACACAGACATGAGCTTCCTGGTAACTAGTTCTCCAAGGCGGGAAACTCGCCACGATGTCGCCGAGGAATCTCACTGGTGAGCACCGTCGGTCTCTGCAAAAGCAGCCGTGTTGCTACATGAGCTTCGAAGTGTAAACGACTGCCAACTGGGCATATCTGGCAAAAATAACCGAACTCCTTTGTCCAGCAATCCATCATCCAGGCCAGGGAGCCAATCTAAAAGATGCCAGTGACCCAAAACAAACCAAAAGCCAAACTCCCCAGAGCCGTTGTTGTGGACAGAACCACGTTCTTGACGCAAAAGAGAGCCAATGCATACCGTTAGCGTCGTTACTTCAACATCCAACGGCTTTTGTGATTCCCATACAAATGCACTTTTGGATCATCTCTGTAGGATCATCTCAACCCCAGATCCGGAATTCGGGTTCCGCTGATAAAACGGGGCACCGTTTGACTAACTATAAACGGTTAGCATGTGACAAAAGCGGCGAGTGCGTTACATAATAAATACCAAGCCTCTCGCCGCTTTTCTCCGGATGCGATGCTGACTCAGCACACTCCAAACAGCACGGCGGGCACGCACGTGGATCGCAGGCGGACGTCGACTGGCGTTCGGCCTTGTCCCTCTCCCATGCCGCCCGTCAAATCATCCTGCGCAGGAACTGCTGTTGCGCAGGGAACAACTTCCGATGAGAGGCGGGCCTCAAGGATCCTCCCCCGCACCGGCGTCCAGAAAACTCGCGGTGCGCTCAGGGGGCCTGGGTGATATGATGGGCGATTCGCAACGGTGATCGATGATCCCTCCCCTTCGGGGGCTGGTTGATCGCGCAAAAAGCAAAACGCCATGCTGCTCCAATGGCTTGCTTGTGGAACAGAGGGAAACAAATCCAGCCGAGATCTCAGTGTGATGATGAGTAGGTCCCGGCCCGGTGGTTGAGCTCCGGCGCAGGCAGTCGAAGCCCCAGTCGATAGAGCTCGGGATTTCTCAGAGCAGCGACTGCGGATCGAGGCCCACCTCGCATTGCTGCTGGAAGAGCTGCCCTTTCCACGTGCAGGGAGACATGGGCCCGGTGATGGGCCTCTGGCCGTATCCCGCTTGGAGAACAAGGAACGTGGAGCGAGTCTCTCTTGCGGGCTTCCCGTTCTGTGTGCAATTACATACATGAGATAATTTCACGGCGTCTGCGCGACTGGCCCGCCTAGCCGCCATCTCTGCTGGTGCCATGGATACCCGGCATCTCTGAATACGAAAAATTGTTTAAAAGACGCCCGGCTCCTCCTTTCATTGTCTCTTCCCTTGCGTTCACCTCAAGTGTCAACGTGAGGGCAGTCCAATTCCTGCTTGCTTTCTAACACACGAGGAGCGAGGCCCTGATCTTTGCCGTCGCCATGAAGCTTGCTCTGTTTGCCGGTGTTGCGCTCCTCTCTGCCTCTGGGCTGTCGCAGACTTTCCAACGTCTGGGTGGCTGTCCTGAGCTGGGCTGCGTTTTCCCTCCAGACCAGTATGCATGCACTGTTGTTTTTAAACAATGTCATCAACGCCTAACAAGCGCGAAATAGGGCCGAGTTCCTTCCCGGGCAGTATTTCGATATCCGTCTGGAAGTCCATTCACCCGTCAATGGCTCCGAGGCACGCGTGGGAGAGCCCGACCCCAACTTCACTTTCACAATTGCTCGCAAACATCGACGAAGTAAGCCTAAAAAGGTCACAGACTTTTTCAAGATCAAAGAAGCAGAGCTTGAAAAATGGGACTTTACGTGGTACGAAGGTACGGTTACCTAATTTGTACCGCTATCGTGTCTCTAGTCGAATCGGTGCTCACATTTCATCTACAGACCTCTTCGCGCAGGATGCAAAGAAACCATCCTTAGTCCGTGTCACTTCAAAAGCATATCGACGGGTCGCTTTGTATGAGCCCGGAGAATACGAAGCGGTCTTGACCTACTACAATGGCAGGAAGACGAAGGCGACCTGGACCGTCAAAGACCTATCCGTGTTCCGGAGAGCAAAGAATGTGGTTTTCTTTATCGGCGATGGAATGACCACCAATATGATCACTGCGGCACGCCTGATCGCACATCGCTCCGTGAACGGAAAGTATCAAACCAAAATGCAGATGGATAAATTTCCAGTGCTCGGCCACCAGATGACGCACTCTATGGATTCATTCATTACTGACTCCGCCAATTCTGCCACCGCTTTGTACACCGGACACAAGACCACAGTCAATGCGCTCGGTGTCTATGTCGATTCGTCAAAGGATCCGTTTGATGATCCCAAGGTTGAGACTATTGCGGAAATCTTCCACAGATTATACCCCGAAGCTGGCGTTGGTATTGTGTCAACCGCTCATCTATGTAAGTCCATCGTCTCAGGGCGTCATGAGGTGTCTATGCTAAGTTAGCTATCACAGCTGATGCTACGCCTGCTGCTCTGACCGCCCATACCCGTGATAGAGGCGAAGCTGGACACGTAATCGATTCTTACTATCAAGGATTGACAAATTACTCCTGGACAGATTGGTCTGGCCCGGATGTGCTCTTTGGTGGTGGTGCTGAGAACTTCCTTCCTGGATCCAGATCCTACAAGGGTCAGGATTACTACAAGCTCTTTAAGGAGCGTGGATACAGTGTCAGCTGGAATGCCACCGCGCTTGCCCAAGCTCCCAACGACACCAAGGCGCTAGGCGTGTTCTCCGTGGGTGTCATGGCAAAATGGCTTGATCGTAACGTGTATAAGGACAACCTGCTTAAGAGGCATAATTACCCCGACGGCTCCGACAAAGATGCCGTTGATCAGCCTGGTTTGAAGGAAATGACCTTGAAGGCAATCGATATTCTCCACAACCGCTCCCGCAGGGGCAGGAAGGGATGGTTCCTCATGTCCGAAGCCGCCAGCATCGACAAGCAGATGCACGCCCTCGACTATGACCGCGCGCTTGGAGAGCTTCTCGAATTTGATGACACCATCAAGGCAACCGTCGAGAAGCTTCGCGCCCTCGGCGAACTGGATGATACCCTCATCGTCGTGACTGCGGATCACGGGCACGGGTTTGACGTCATGGGTTCCGTGGACACCAAGTACTTGAATGAAAAGGATACCGATCGCGAGAAGCGCAATGCCATCGGAACCTATTTCAATTCCGGTCTGTCGCAATACACCGTGCAGACCGATGCGTCGCTTCATTACACTGACGGCGTGCATTTCCCGTCCCAGTGGGACCCACGGTATACCCTCTACCAAGGCGTAACTGCCAATCCGGACCGGAGAGAGAATTTCCAGGTTCACAAGGATGGTTCGAGAGTACCAGCCATCGAGCTTGAGAGGGGTTCGGATGACTACTACGTCAACTACAAGGATGCCGTGTCCGGTTTCGTGATTAATGGCACTCTGCCCGTGGCTGATGCGCAGGGCGTTCATTCATTGACGGATGTGCCGGTGTTCGCCATGGGGCCGTGCCAGGAGAAATTTGGTGGTATGTTTTGCGATTCTTATTCCAAACCCCTTGCTTCTTTTTTGAGACTTACTGACGGAACTTGGCGGATAGGAGTCTACAATTCCGTCGATATTTTCTTCCGCATGGCTGATTGCCTTGGTCTTGGGAAACCAAAGTGGAGGGGTCCCTTCTAAGCCAATGTGCCTTTTTATCATTTCACCGTTCTAGTGACTCAAGGCTAGAGTCAATATTAATTTATCATATTTACGCTCCTAATTTCGCGTACATATGTATATAGACTTTTAAAAGCTCAATTAAAACTGGGTATCATTTGCACTTCACAATCAACAAAACCACCATTTTACCTAGCTTGTCACTTTGACTTGGCTTGACTCGAATCAGAGTGCATCTGCGATACAGTCAACCATAAGATCTCGTCAACCCATAACCGAGCCGCCAAAAGAAGAAGAAAAAAAAAGAAAAAACTTACCGCTTCAGCAAACCCTATCCACTCACGTATCCCCTTCACAAACGGATCTTCCTCAGAAGGAACGTGTTCATGATCCCAAACCATGAAACTCGAAAACGTACCCTGTTCCTCAAGGATGGTTGGGGATTCTTCGACGTCCCCCTCGCCGTCTTCACTCAAGTCCTCCTCACGGCCGGCTAAGATGTTCTCTTTGCTCCGAATGCGATCACCGTCTGAGACAATTGCTTTGGCGTCAAGGCTCTTTTCGGTCGGAGTGGCGAGAACACCTAGATCTCCAAGGCGTTAGTGTATACATGAGCCCATCCACCCCTTTCCGAGAAGGCGCTGTAGTAAGAAAAACTCGCCCAGTCGTTTCCATGGACCTTGACGGGGGATATATACCGCGATATCCCTCTGGGAGGGCAACTCGTCGGCCACGAAGTTTTCGGCCGCGGAAATATGCAGTTGCGAGATCTGGAAAGAACTTCGTGTTAGATTGGGTATTTTTGGTCTTTGCTCGCAATCCGGGTTTACAAAAACATCGGGCGCACCTGGATTCTTTTCATCCTCGGTAGGGCTCCAGTGTCTCGGCGAGACAGCGATGGTGCCGTCATGATGGATTCTGCATGGCAGGATATTCGGCTGCACAGTCGTATGATTGCTTTTTGACTCTTCTGGTGGTCTTAATGCCAGCATTTTCTGAAATACGGTTTTTGTCTGGATGTAATTCTGTTATTATCGAATCACTGCGTCGGACGTTTTGGGGTCAGTGGGCCAAAGATTTTTGGTTGAAAAGTACAAGGGTGAGTATATGAAAATCATCAAGGAATGACCGTCTCGTCTACTCAGCGTCCCAGTCGAGAAATTCTTTCTTGAAGATTTTCATTGATTCGCGACGCGTAGAGCGCGTCAAGCAAATTGGATATCTAACTAGCCACTGATTACATAATCTGACTTGACGGAGTCGTGAGATATATCATATCTTGCACCGGGAAGCCTGCATTCATTAACACGCAGGATGCCTTTGTAGATGGCGAGAGACTGACAATCACCGCTTCCTTCTTTTCTTTTTCGGCTTCTTCTTTTTCGCGGTCCCGCTACCCTCTTTTTTGTCGCTATCATTTTGTACTCGAACGGGCCATCGCTTCGCCTGTTCCCTCTCAAATGCTTCCTTATCCCTCTGGAATAGTAACATTGTCGCTCTAGCATCCTCCACACTCGAATGCGCCGCGCCTTGTATAGTCACTCCCAGCAACTCCGCCGCTAACACCTTTAACCGCGGTTTCGCGCCTCCTGCTATTTTTCGATAAGGAATATGGGAGCTCGTGTCCCGGATGTCGCGCTTCGGATGGCTCAAGAGAAGCGCGTTCAAATCGTTGGAGACCGCATGGCCTATTAAGATACGGCCATCTAGCAACTCGGCAACATCCTTTTGTACTTCTTCGAAACTTCGCGCGTCTATCATGCTCATGGGTGTAATCCCGCTGACTTTGGTCCGCCAATCGGTGACGGTCTCTTTCGGTTTGACAAAGGAGTCGTATACTTGATCTCCCGTGAAATTGACTATACTCACACGGGCGAGTGCAGAGTCGCGGTCTGGATTCGGGCCGACGCCTACCATCTCGCAGTCGATAGCAATGTATTTTCCTACTTCGGCACTGCCAGGAGTCAGTATGAAAAAAAGTGATCGAGTAGCTGTAGCGGTAAGGGAATAAAAGCATACGTAGGTGATAGCCCTTCATTGACTCGCTCCCGGCCAATGTCCCGCTTTTTCAATTGCGCGGCGGATTCCTTGCTTTCCGCGTCCCCGTTGACTGTGAGCTTCTCCACGCCATCAGTGACTCCCGTAATGACACTGGACATTTTTCTCTTCTTGAATACCCGTTCTCGCTTCTCTGTCGTTTTATTCGTGTGTACGGGGCGCGAAGAAGCGGCGTGTTTTCTGCGCTTCACTCCATTCTGGTGCACTGCGTCGCTGGCACTGCGTTTAACACCCGTCGAGGGTTTTCCCTCTTTAAGAGTCGATTGAAGTTTTTTCCAGTTACTGGATAGATCTTTAAGATCCATTTTCGTGTCGTTTGTCACAGCTCCATGGCCGCTTCGCTTTGGTAGAATAAGTCTTGGAATCTGGAGCTGATTGATATCTCTGCAGAGATGATTTTCTAGAGTGCAAACAGTGCAAACTCCCTACATGCATTTAGGATACTTTGATTTCTCTCCCTTGTGGAACATTGTGATATTCGATATAAATCTATTTTAAGCTGCTTTAGAAACACATCGTTCATGGTTTAATTTTGAAGTCCTTGTAAGACCATTTTTCCGTGTACGTTCGTCTCGCCTTCTTGGGCTGTGACACTGGTTTCCGCACTTCGAGCTTACCCTGCACTTGCAGGCTTCGAAATCGATCGCCTAGTAAATTACCCTCCGGCCTCAGCAGCCGAAGAGAGTCTTTTAGCTCGTCAGGAAGTACCAATTCAAGAGGTTTCTCGGGAACGCTGTGAGACGGTTAGCATACTTCAGCCACGAGGTAGGAACAGCGACGACATACTGGTGTTTACCACCAAACGGTCTCTTCCTCAGAATACGATCATCTCCCTCTTCCGAAGACCCATCTTCTTTTGCTTGCAACTCTTCGGCCTCTCCCTTTTCTCGCATTGCCTTTACGATCGCTTTGATTTGGGATGCTTGCTCTTCCCGCTTTTTCATTTTTGCTTCCCACTTGGCCTTTCTCTCTGCTTCTTTCCTTCGCTTGATTTTGTTTCTTTGTGCCTTTGTCTTTCTTTCAGGTCGCTTCTTCTTCAACCAGTCCGCCGTCTCGTACTCGCTCTCGAAGCCTTCCCATGCACTTTCGTCGTTGGATTGAGCCTCATCGTCCTCGTCCTTTGCCGCAGCAATTCGAGCTTGTCTTTCTTGCTCTGCCTTCTCCTCTTCTATTCGTTGCTTTTCCGCCTCCACCTCCTTTGTCCCCTCTTCTATCAGAAGCTTATCCCATTCCTCGAAGGAAGGATTATAGCTTATTCCACCATCGGGATTCTTCACTGACGGTATCGGTTTACCATTCGCTGCGAGCGAGATGGGCGCCTGCTTTGTAGTCACGGGAATAACGGTTGCCTTCGGTTTGGGGATAAAATCAAACTTTTTGTCGTCCAAACTAGGCGCGCTTGGGGTAACCGCCCAAGGGTCGTAGACAGCATCTGGCTGAATGTCGTTATTCACCATAGTCTTCTCTGCTGCAACCTTTTTGAGCCGTAGCCATTCTTCCTTGGTCACCCAATCTCGCCTCGTTCGTTTGGCCTTTGGCTCGATTATGCCGTCTGTAACTTTGGAGTTGGGGCGTTTCCGGCTGTCCACTGCTGTGATGGCTGATCGTAGTCCCAGGATTTCGTCTGCTCTGAGCTGTTTTCCGGGTTTCGCGGGTCGAGTCGCAAGCGCTTTTGATCCAATTTTGTCTATCACGAACAACTGCTCCGAGGGCTTTTCTGCAAGGACACCGCTATATTAAGATTAGTTTGAATACTGTGAATTATCCAATCATTCTGTGACTTGCCCTTCAATTTCTTCGTCTCGGACCTGCCGAAGTCCCTCTTGAACTTCCGTCACATCAACATTTTTCCTCCAGGCTTTTTTGCCTTTTCTTGAAGGCTGTTTATATTGTTGCGGCGCTTCAATATTCGGTGCCATTTTCCCTATTTGATTTGGCGTTTGTTAGTCCTCTTTTGTTGTATCTACCACAATTTTCTGCTCACAAAATTCATCACGAATGAATGCGGTGACTGGTGCGTGGCGGTTCGCTGGTGCCAAGTCTTGCGAGCTAAACACACGCGGCGCCGTCTCTCCTGGTAAACGCGATCGCAAAATCAACCCAAGGAAGCCAAAAGACCTCAGTCCGGTGTGTTTTAGGATTATTCAAGATGCCGGTTGTCAAGGGAGGTGTTTGGTATGTGAAGTCTCATTATTATTTATACTATAAGCTCTGTACGCTTACTGACAATCACCGTGTCCAAGGACCAACATCGAGGATGAGATTGTCAAGGTAGCAGTCTCCAAGTATGGGTTGAACCAGTGGGCTCGAGTATCCTCTCTCCTTGCACGCAAAACTCCCAAGCAATGCAAGGCTCGTTGGTCGGAATGGTTGGATCCTGCCATTCGCAAGGTAGAGTGGTCGAAGGAGGAGGATGAGAAGCTGCTTCACCTCGCGAAATTGATGCCCACTCAATGGAGAACAATCGCTCCTATCGTTGGTCGAACCGCCACGCAATGCTTGGAGAGGTATCAGAAGCTTTTGGATGAAGCAGAGGCGAAGGAGTCTGATGAGCTGGGGCTAGGAGGGCCTGCGGGTGGTGAGACCGCTGCTCCTAGCGCTGATGATGTTAGAAGATTACGGTGTGTATAGATACCATCCCTCAATACTTTGCATCCTTTTACTGACTGCTGGCTGGTTATTAGACCGGGGGAACTGGATCCTGATCCTGAATCCAAGCCTGCTCGACCGGATACTATAGATCTTGATGAAGATGAAAAAGAGATGCTCAGTGAGGCTCGTGCCCGTCTCGCAAATACTCAAGGCAAGAAGGCGAAGCGAAAGGCCCGAGAGCGACAGCTAGAAGAATCACGACGGTTGGCAGTGCTACAGAAGCGACGAGAGCTCAAGAATGCTGGAATCAACATCAAGGTTGTTACGACGAAAAAGGGCCAGATGGATTATAATGCGGATATCCCCTTTGAGAAGCAACCGGTTCCTGGGTTCTACGACACTTTCGAGGAACAAGCTAAGAATGAACGCCAACGGGAGCTATTTGATCCACGCAAGCAACAGTTGGCGAATAAAAGAAAAGGAGAACCAGAGTACGAGCAGGACAAGAAGCGGCAGAAGAACGATAAGAATGGCTCATCTGCAGCTTTTGCAGCGGCAGCAAGGGCCGGTCAGATGCAGCGTATTCGAGAAGCGGAACAGAGCAGCAAACGCCGGGCTCTGGTGCTTCCTTCTCCCCAAGTCAGCGAGAGCGAGCTTGAGGAGATCGTTAAAATGGGGATGGCGGGTGAAAGGGCCAGCAAAATGGCTGGAGATGATGAAAGCGACGGCGCACGGGGCCTTGTCGCGAATTATTCGACTATTATCGGTGGCACGCCAATTCGAACACCTAGAGCGCCTCCCGAGGAAGATCGAATAGCGAACGAGATCCGCAATATCAAGGCTCTAACAGAGACGCAATCGTCTCTACTAGGCGGAGAAAATACGCCTTTGCTCGAGGGGGGCCGGTCAACCGGGTTTGATGGCATTACGCCACGTCAACAGAAGATGGTGACGCCAAACCCCATGGCTACTCCTTTCCGTCAGGGTGGCGCAGCCGCGATTGGAAGCACTCCAATGCGAGTAGGGCCAGGAGCTACTCCACTGCGCACCCCCAGGGACAATTTCATGATCAATAAAGAAACTGGCCTTCCTGTCGGCAGCACTCCAAAGGAGATGAGGATACAAGAGAATTTCATGCGACGGCAGCTCCGGCAGCAGCTCGATTCCCTTCCTAAACCGAAGGAAACGGAATGGGAACTAGAAGAGCTGCCCTCAGAACAGCCAGAACTAGCAGTTATAGATGCGCTAACTGAAGAGGACGCCGCAAAACGGGATAGGAGAAATAAAGCTGCGGCTGAGAAAGCAGCGAAAGCAGAATTCAAACGCCAGAGCCAAGTATACCAGCGTGGACTCCCCCGACCACGCACATTGGACATCAAAGCGCTAATAAAACAAGTTGATGACATTGATGACCCAATCAAACAAATGATCGCAAAAGAAATGGCTATCATTATTGCGCACGATGCTCGCAGGTTCCCACTACCAGAAGCACATATCAAAGGAAAAGCGCCAAAACGCGAAGAACTGAATGATGACCTGTTAGCCGAAGCTAGAGCAGAAATTGAAGCAGAGGTATCTACGGGGTCATTGGATAATTGGCAAGAGGGCTTTGGAGTAACTTGGACGTCTCTCCATGACTCTCCAGCGAAGCTTCCAGGGCTTTCAATCTACGATGACGAAGATAATTTTGAGAAACAGGAACAGAACATGCTTATGGCTTTTGACAATGTCCAAGATAATTTGATGAAAACGGCAGAGATGGGCAACAAGCTGGAGAAAAAAATTGCCTTGCATTATGGCGGATATCAAGCCAGAGCAAAGACGCTAAGAAACAAGATCTTGGAAGCAAATGAAGCGCTACAGCAATCCACGCTGGCTTTGGACTCGTTCAAAACTTTGCAGATTGCCGAGGACTCTGCTGTTTTGCGACGCGTTGAGAGCCTGCGTGGTGAAGTCACGTTTGTAACCAGGCGGGAGCGAGAGGCTCAACAGGTCTACAGGCAGCGAAAGGACGAGCTGGAGTCTCTCGAGGCTGGCGGCATTAACGGGTGGCACTAAGCACGATGGGTGTATAAATATGGTGTATTGGTTTTTGTCAATGTGAATTGGGATCTGTTTCCTTCAATAGGCAATTCAAATTGTATTCTAGAGCAGAACAAAGCCAGAATTTGGGTTGACAGCCCTGCAAGGCTCCTTGATAACTAGTGGTGACATTTGCTTGAAGGCCTCCAGTCTCCAAATGACGCTGGTCGGCTGTGGTGAGTGGCAATGAGAAGCTTAAAACCACAAAGCCGCAACATCAAAAAAGTCATCACCAAACGTCAACGTCGCTCATCCACGAAGCCATCAAAATCCATCAAAAAGACCCCCGATAACCGTGTCTTCCATCTCTGATTTTATCAGTTTGGTAGAGAAAGCAGGCTGGATATTATCATGGGTGTCAAAGATACATCCCAGGAGGCCTCCAGCACGCCAGACCCCGAAAAGAGCCTTGCTACTTTGAATACCCTCAGGTAAAATTCTCCAGCCTGCCGAATTTGCTTAGTTTCACGCTGACTCTGGCTCAATAGAATCGGCGTGAAGGCGTTTGTCGAGAAGGTGAGTCGATGTGATACTCAACTTTGCTGGTTGCCACCAAGTCACACACGTGACCCAGCATCGAATCACCGACGCTAATGTTCTATGCAGGATGGCGATTGTCGAAAAGCAGAGATTCTGTCTATGAGGCAGCGAAAAGATGGCCCGAGTTTCTAGTATGCCTCTTTGATCTCTGGTTACTCTCCGCTGGATGCTAACACGGTGGTAGTGTGCATTATGTTGATTTCAACAAGCGTCTTGACGGTTTGTAGGGCCACTCGTTCCGCGATGGTCCGTGCTAACTGTGAAATGTAGAATGGGTATCTGCGTCGCGGATTGATTTAACGAAAGAGGTAGAATGGCCCCTGCCTGAGAAGCCGGAGAAGAAGAAGGTTAGCGGTGCGGCCGCAACCAAAGCACAGCCCAAGAATGCATTAAAGCGAGCACGACAACCGAGCAGAGAGGTTTCATCGACCCCAGATGTCCTAGCAGGCAAGAATCTGAACATTAGCAAGCCATCCAAACTCTCTAAAGCTGGGGGTAAGGAAAATCAGGAAGAAGGAACCCCGTTGAGCATTCCCCCCTTAACAATCTCTGCAGACGGGACTCCGCAAGGGGAGGCGGACTCTGAAGATGTGGATATGATAGATATCACAGAGGCCGAAGCCAAAGCAGCTGTCAAGGAAGAGGTTGAAAAGGCCGCTGAAGACGCTGTACGGCAAGAGGAAATCGAGAAACTGAGGACCGGAGGCAGCATGACACAAAACCCCACAGAGATTCACCGGGTACGAAATTTAACTCGAGTTCAGATGGGAAAATATGAGATCGAGCCGTGGTATTTTTCACCCTATCCAGCGTCGTTTAGCGATGCGGATATGATTTATGTGGACGAATTTTGCCTCAGCTATTTCGACGATCATCGTGCTTTTGAAAGACACCGGTCAAAATGCACACTTGTCCACCCGCCAGGCAACGAAATCTATCGTGATGATTACGTATCATTTTTTGAAGTCGATGGCCGCCGGCAACGGACGTGGTGTCGAAACCTTTGCCTCCTGAGTAAATTATTCTTGGACCACAAGACCCTCTACTACGATGTGGACCCATTCCTATTCTACTGCATGACTACACGGGACGCGCACGGCTGCCATCTAGTTGGATATTTTTCCAAGGAAAAGGAGTCTGCTGAGGGCTACAACGTTGCATGCATCCTTACGCTACCTCAATATCAACGTCGAGGATATGGTCGTCTTCTCATCGCATTTAGTTACGAGCTCAGCAAACGAGAGGGTAAATTAGGATCTCCCGAAAAACCACTCAGTGACCTTGGTCTACTAGGCTATCGACAATACTGGAGAGAAACGCTGGTTGAACTTCTCTTAGAGCCAGGCCGTGAGGCAATCAGCGAAAGCGAACTGGCAAGTTTAAGTGGTATGACTGAGAAAGATGTTCATGAAACATTGGTCGTCTTGAACCTTCTCAGGTACAATGTGAGTATTTTATCCCCCCCCCCCTAGCCGGGCAACCAGAGGCGCTAGTCGTACTAACACTCCACAAAGAAAGGAAATTGGGTCATCGTTCTCACCGACGCAATCGTCGAACAACATAATAAGCGTTTAGCAAAAGAGCAGGCTAAAGGCGTCCGAAAAATCGACGCTTCACGGCTTCAATGGAAGCCGCCAGTTTTCACAGCATTAAGTCGGACGTGGAACTGGTAAACCCCCTATGTCACGGAATTATTATCCAAGTTACGAGTTCCCTTACTGTCTATCTTTTGTTTTATGTTTTTAAGAGTGATGATTGTCTTTTGAAGTATGCATAGCGCCGGTGCTCCTTTCTGTTGTTGCAGCGAGACCTTTGAGACTACTTTTTTTCAAACCTATACAAATCCTGTAAAATCACGTTTGCGACTTCTAGTGCCAGTATCAATCTTATAACTTTAACAATAGTTGCAATTTGATTGATATTGGGTGACTCACTAAAATGTAAATATTTGGGGCTGTCATGCCCTGAGTGAGGCAGTGTTACTTAGTTATCTCAGCTTGATAGCAAACCAAACTCGGGGCCATTCCAACACATTTAAACTCTTTAGTCCATTGGAAATCCTAAAAGTCGAGGAACAATAGCTACATCACTGTCATGGAGGGTACAATCTTCCAAGGGGCGATGAGAACATCGAGTAATAGATATCATATAGCCCTTCATCGGGATCATCATCAGAAAGCCGCCTCTAGGCATTAGGAATAACAACATCCAATCAACGCAAAAGCAAGCACTGATTACAATTGAGACTATGCGGTTTCTTTCATACGGAGAGCAACTTCCATCTGTGAATGTTTAGATAGCTTTAACACAAAAATGTGCCAAATTCAAGGGTGAATACTTAATGACTGTTGGAGGGACTCCGTCTTGAGTGAGAGGCTGCTACAAGAGAAGGATACAGGGTATGAAGTGTAAAGGAAAACAATGTAAGTATGAGTAGAACCAGTGGTCGCGTTAAAACATGAAACCGTGCCTGCTCAATCCCCCGAAAACATGAACTGCCCAGTCTCACTGGCTCGTGGTAAAAGAATAACCAAGACCGTAAGGTAATCTAGATAAGATGAGATAGTAGCCAGCTCGAGGGAGGGCCCTTACGCTGTTGTGCCAGCTACACGAGACGCCCAATTACTTTGCCCAGAATGTGACCGCGGGGAGCTGGAAGTGGGAGCTGGAATCTTTCTGGGAGGCTGTGATGTATGATATGGCCCAGAATTCTCGCGAGACTTCGCACCTCTACGATGTTTAGAATTTTGTGGGCGTTGACGTGTTGGGTTATTCCCCGTGGTAGGACCACCCCTCCCATGCATTGTGAGCGACTTTAAATGTCGGTTTCTGGAAGATGATCATTATGTGACCATGCCGGGATTATTCTTGTCGATTGGGCCGAAAATGTAGGGTTCGATGCTTTGAACTTGGACGGGCCTTTGGAATCGGGACCGCGCTCGCTGATGAGAAGGAGGTAATGCTGGCTGCCAAGCTGCCTTTGGTGCCATGTGTGGGACATTGACGACCGGTAGAGATCCGGCTTCACGATCCTCAAAAATAGCTTCCTCCTCTTCTACCTCTTTTGATGCTACTTTGCCAGCGTCCCGTGCCAATTCTGCATCGTTAAAATGAGGAAGCGAGACCGCAGCTGAGGAGTCGCTAGGTAGAACCTCGAGAGGTTCCTTCGTTGCTGACGCAACAGCGAGCACGGCCTTTTTGCCGTGCAAAGCTTGCGAAGACTTTTTACCAAATAACCCATTGAAACGGTCTTGCCAAGTTGCAGTGCTAGCGATGGGTTGTGAACCACGGGGAGGAGGTGGACCGGAGGCGACCATTGATGCAAACGTGGCAGGAGGAGCTGGAGGTGGCGATGAGCTGCGCGGAGGGAGCTTCACTCGTGGTTTTGGTCCCGGTAGATGAACCAATGGTCGTGGAGAATCGGTATTAAACACTGGGTGACTCGAAATCTCCTCCGGTGGCGGGGGAGACGGGCTGCGAGTTTCGACATTATGTCGATCGGGAGCTTGTTTGGCTTGATCGGATACTTGAGGGAAGAAACGAGACCCTCTAGTCGTTGTTCCAACCTTGGAGTTTTCTGCGAAAGGCAGGCCATCGACGCTAGGTTCTAAAGGATGCAAAGAAGGAAGTGGAGGTCCCTTTTCAGCGGTTTTAAAGACAGACACCATATTGCGTTGGCCGGCCTCGTCTCCCACTTTTACCTGTCGCCAAGTTTCATTAAAGGTACCTGCAAGGAGGACTTTATTCCACTTCTCGCTTCTTCTTCATGTCTAGCCTGTAGATCTCGATGAGAATCGTTCATTTTCTTCCAGCTCGGCCTTCCTTGCAACGAGATGAAAGTTATTCCACGCGGCGGTTTCTTCTGAGCGGCGAGAAAACTGATTTTGTTGCCATCGCTGCCCTTGATTATACGCTGTCGGTGGGGCGATGGGACCTGGTCGAGAAATCGGCTTCACGTTTTCAGCAGTGGCCAGACGACCTGGGCGTTGTTCAGGTGAAGACAAAGGAGACGACAATGAGGTATCCGCTATCATCTTCGGCGCACTAGGTAATTGTGGATGGGGGCGTTCAGGAGCACCTACTCTTTCCACGCTCGGCTGCGGCCGTCCAATGGGGGGTTGATCTGACAATGCCAAAGGGCCGTGGGGCGCAAGGTCTCTAGAGGGAAAACCAGTGAGGGTTTTGTCGAAAGTGCCGTTACCAAGGGCTTTATCGTTATTTGGCGGGCCCCAGAGGCTGCCTGTAGTGGCATGGGTGCCCATCTTTGCGCCAGACCACGACGAATAAGAACTTGTCGTTGGTACGGCTCCTTTCCAAGGCAAAGTTCTATCTCCAGATATGTCTGGCTGAGGTTCTGGTATTTTGACACTAGGCAATTCCGTCGGTCGAACACCATTCAGAGAGGGTGGTGGCACGGCCGATCTTGCTTGTTCAAACTTCGAATCTCGGGAGGACGGCAACTGAGGAGCCTGAGAAGCAGAAATACCTGGCTTGACATCGGCTTTTTCATTGGGTGCCACGAACTTCTTAACTGGTTCAGGAGGATGTACCTTCATCATCCCATACTGTTTGGGCTCTCCACTGGGTTCCGGAACGGGAGGTTTCGGGGCCGAATGGGCTACAGTGGTTTGTTTGGCAGGTTCCATTGATGGCGAGCTCTGTTTCGCAGGTTGCTTCTCTGATGGAGGTGGCCCCATAGCTTCGAGCTTTAATCGAATTCGCTCTTGTTTTGCAGCCTCTTCCTTCGCTTCTTCTTCGAGTCTGCGTTGTCTTGCCATTTCCCGTTTCTCGCGCATGATCCGTTGTTGCATGGTAACAGGGTCCTCTACAGGAGGCATCTGCGAGAGGGCAGGGTCGGTGGCAGGTGGTGGAGGCATGCCAGACGGAGCGTAATGCGAAGAAGGGGCGTGGTTTGGAATGTTCTGAACTGGTTGATGAGAGGGAGAAGGCCCTCTTGGAGCATACCCACCTTTTTGATAAGACCTGCGAGGGGAAGTGGAGCGCTCATTTTGCTGAGAGCCTCTACGCGGCGGAAGATCGTGATTCCTATGGCTGAGATCTGGTTTGCTTATGGATAATCGCCGGGCCATAACCCCGCTGCCTCCGCTAACATTTGATGACGCACGGCGACGAGTCCATGAGCCAGCTTCTTGGGAAGTACTAGATCGGCTCGTCTGAAACGCAGGTGAAGGTTCTGCCGGGCCGACCTGCTCATTCTGATTTGGCCTTTGAAGCAAAGATGATGGGCGGAAATGTGTGTCGTTCTTAGGCTGTCCCCGGCGGGGTTCAGATACGGGTTCATATCGACCAGACTGGGAATTATACAATTCCCGGGGCGCAGCTGATTGAGTGTCTCTCCAGGAACGGTTGAAATCATCCGCTGCAATTTCTTTAGTCGGAATTGATGCCGGCGTTGTCGCTTCTGGTCCACTACGATCACCCTGGAAAAAACGTGAAGGCCGTTGTTGAGCCGAAGGATTAACAGCAACCGGGGAGACTCTGTCAATCGGAGGTAATGGCGCCCAAGGAGATTTCGCTGCAGCGGAGAGTCCTTTAGCAAGAGTTTCCTTTTCGTTCATTCCTTTGCTCGAATCACTGCCCAACCGGGATTGGTGCTTGTCTACGTTAGCGCCGAGTTTAAGAATCGTTGCGTTCGGGCCAAGTGAGCTTGGCGGTTTTGAAGTAAGGATTTTGGGATCTCCACGGCCGGGTTTTGTTTCCAGCAGTGTTGGCTGTTGTGTTGCCGATTTGATTTGAGATTCCGTTTTTGCTTGAGTCGAAAGAGGGAGAGTTTCCGTCTGAGTCAAACTAATTTTGGTACCATCATTCCATTCAATTGTTTCCGGTGCCCAATCATCCTCGTCGTCGTCGATATCTGCCCATTTTGACTCCTTGCCATCGCCATCGGCCTGGATGCGAGAGGTCATGTGGATGCCATACTGTTGCTTTAACTCTTCGTCTGTTAGGTGCTTCGTAGGAGGTGGTTGCACAGCTAAATCGGCTCTTATTAATATCATGCTTAGATACATCAGGGACCATCGGCTTCTTACGTCGGTTTTTGTTCCATACTTGGTTGGGGTCAGGCGCTCCTGATCCATTCCTACTGTTACCACCGAAGGGTCTTGGGGTCGAATCGCGCATGCTGCTGGTTGATTTGGCGACCAGGCGAGGTCTTGAAGCTTGCAGAGTAGGTGTAGTCGAGGTATTTGAGGTAGAAAACGGAACTGTAGCGGTGTCAGACTTGGGAGTCAGAATTTTGGAAGTAGCGAGAGGCGGTGATGGATCGCACCTTGCTCAGCAGTAGCTTTAGAACTGCTCATTGCGCCCGGCGATTTCGCTATAGAGAATTTTGCAAAAGAAACAGGTTTAAAGGATGCTGGCCGTTTAACGGAACTCGTACGGGAATGCTGCGTGCTGTCTTTTGACAATGATCGTATATCATTTCGGCTCACGTCCGTATCGGAGCCCCCGCTTCCATCTACAAGCTGGCTATTAGGCGTCCCGTGGTCTCCGATGGGAGATTCCGATTCAACTCCATTCGCTTCAGGTCCTTTCGTAGTTGTCTCCAATTCATCCTGTGTAGTTAAACCTATCGAAGCCGTATTCTGAGCCCTCGTCAGTGACATCATCGCGTGGGCTATCAGCGCAAAAGCTTTAAAGCCACTCACAGTGTCATATCCTAATGAAATGCGTTCGTCGAGATGGGAAGTGCACTGCATACTTTCCCCATCCGGCTTGGCCCGCGATTCTGTGCTTGTACCTTGTCGTCTTCGATCCTTGCTATCGAGAGTACCAACATCTTCCCCATCCCCTCCAGTTGTGTATTTGACAGGTTTGCTCGCAGGGACGTCGGAAGGCGATAGGTCGCCGCCCGACCGGGTTTGGTTTACCACATCGTGGCTACTCTGCTCTGCCATAACAATGTTCTATGGCTGTGAAGAAACGTCGTCAGTTGGAGAATGATCCGCAAAAGCACCGGAAATGTAACTTTGAAAGAAAGGATTCCTGTCATCACATAACGACGTGACAAAACATTAAACTGAAACTTACTTCTGATCAGGAACTGATTACCGCCACGATGGAGCACTTGGTTGAGTTCAGTCGGCCTTGAACTGAGCCGTTGCTAGGGAAGAAAAGTTATGAGTGACCAAGCACCTGAGGTTAGCGATAAAAGGATTAAAAAGCTAGCAAAGTAGATTAAAACTGTGGTCAACAGCCTGGTAAGACTGGCCGGCGGTTTGAAGAGAGTCAGTAGAGTCGCAAGATGGGAGAGTTCAGGATGGTTGAAGGAGTAGGAAGACGTGTGGCCAAGCTCCCAAGACCCGATTGGGCTAGCGGCAAAGTCAACAGTTCTGCCCTGAGTCTGAGCCAGCTGTGCCGTTCAGCGCATTCATATGCTAAATTTAACCCTGTGCTCTCGGTAATTCCCTGGCATTCAGTTGTAAAGTACAGAGTACATTTGTTTCAGTTCTGCTATTAATCATTTTTGCGGCTACACACTGCTGGGCTTTCTTTGCATAAACCATCACAATCATGACGCTGGTAACCGATTTATTTCTATACTATATGTACACATTTCCATCACCATTCATCTCTAATGCTGAACATGCTAAACTCAGTGGGCATTGTTCTTGTGGTGACCTGGAGGTATTTAGTAAAAGGATGCGCTAGCGGCTTGTGGGACAAGAAAGACATACGGAGATGTGTGACATATTGGATGCTGTAGCCCAAAAGAGTCATCGCCACGATGAGGTGAACAAGTGCTATTGCCATGTCGAGTTAGCTTGACATTGAATAGATTCATATTTCCAGCGCATTTACACTGGCAAAGTGATACTGGTGTTGCAGGGAGAAGTTTAACGTACGTTTTGCAGTGGGATTCTTGCCGAAATGCTTAGCGTGATAACGAGCAAAAAAACCTGAAGGCTTCACTTCAGGAGCTCGGCCTCGAGGGAGTTTTCCGTAAAAGTTGCCCACTCGCTCCATGCGAGCGGCATCCTTTGCTGCTCCGATTGCCTTCCACAAGTGTCAGTCAAAGGGGGATATCGTAACGACTTCGCATTGGGATTATCAACAGAATCATTTAACGTAGGGAACGTACGGAGGGAGACGCAATCTATTCAACCATTAGCAACGCCCTATTTTCCGCTTCAGAGTGGTTGGGTTTACCTTTGGGGGAATGAGGGTTGAAATCCCTCGGCGAACAACGTAGCTCATGGTGAAGAACCTAAGAGATCAAACCCAATTAATAGCCGCACCGAAAGGTATTTTTATCAGAAGTAATATACCCACTTCTGTGACGATTGAACGGCTCTTCGATGTCGGTTGATTTGTCTTCAGTGTTAACTTGGCGCTCATCGACACGAAGATGCGAGGAGGGCATTTTCGAGCTAACCACATTGGGACGTCCACTCGGCATCGTGGAACCTCACAATCATGCTCAACCGTTGACTGACGACCTTTCCTCCATTCTTACACGCATCACTTTTAAACATGTCTCTGTTACGGCCGGGGAGGCTAGCTGCAAGCTGCACACGGGCAGCGTGGCGCTCTCACCCTGTCAATGCTCGCTATGTCAGTTCTTCAGCGCCACGCCCAGTCGATGACAAGCCTCTCAAGACGAGTCCCGCAGACGCACCGGCAGCTCAACCCAGAGGGGGTTCCGCGTTGCGGAAAGAGTCCCCATCAGAGGCGATGGCCCGTCATCAGCCTGACTATAACGCAACCGTTGACCACGGCACCTCGTAAGGCTCTCGATTCCCGGAATTTCTCCTATAATTGCTTAGCAATAGAATTCTAGCTCGTTTTCGCCTGTTCCCAAACGCGTTATGGATGGCAGCGAACCCGGCGATGTGGTTGCCGCGGCTGTGTTATCGGGGGCTCCGACCGACCTTCAGGCTCGAACTGTGAGGTATGGAATCCCAGAGGTGGCTTAATCCGTATCATTTCTAACATGGAGTAGGATATACCGACCCGCGAAACCCGCTACGCAGTCTGGTGCCTGGCATGATCACCAGTGGAGAATGGATTGGGATGTATTGTCGAAGGGTCATCGTTGGGAGAATCCATTGATTGGATGGCAGTCATCGGCGGATGGGATGCAAGGAACTCACATCAACTTCAAATCAAAGGACGACGCAATCCGTTTCGCAGAAAAGCAAGGCTACGAATACTACGTTCAGGAACCGAATGATCGGGCCTTTCACCCAAAGGCCTATGCGAATAACTTTTTACACGTGCCCAAGAAGCTGAAGCACATCAGGACCAAGTAAATACTAGGAGCAGTTGAGAGCCACTGCAATGTACAGTTATACCGTTTCATTTTCCTACTTAGGCCACAACAGAACCGTTATTTTGATTCACTCTGTATCAACTGCTGCATCGAATGTTGCCAAGACATTAGTCCCATTTAGTCCGCTGTTATCTCCGATCTTATCTGATCTGATGATCTTTTATCGCCAAAAATTGGAAGCCCCTCTTCCTCTCTACAGCACAGTCTTCGTCAACGCAGCGTTTTGGTCTTCATATTGTTTTCCTGAATTAAAAGCCAAAATGGCGACATCTGCTACCAGTACCGCCCAAAATACTGGTGACTCCAGAGACTCCGTTCAGTACTTACGAAAGATTCTCACATCCGAATCATCCCCTCTTGCCCAGCGATTCCGCGCCCTCTTTTCTCTAAAACACGTTGCTTCAGAAAAGCCACCCACAGCGGAAACTCTTCCAGCTATCGAAGCGATTGCTGCAGCATTTTCGTCTCCATCCGCGCTACTCAAACATGAATTAGCGTATTGTCTTGGACAAACCAGAAATCTAGACACAGTGCCACACCTTCGCAAAGTTTTGGAGGATCGTCACGAGGATGCCATGTGCCGACATGAAGCCGCGGAAGCTCTGGGCGCGCTGGGGGATGCTGGAAGTTTAGATCTCCTACAACGTTTGCGCGATGATAACTCTGAAGAAGAGGTGGTAAGGGAAACATGCGACATTGCAGTGGACAGAATATCATGGGAAACGTCCAAGGCCAGTGAAACTGAGAAATTAAAGCCAAGGTGAGTTGACCACCAACGACACCATTTCTTCCGTCTTCTTATTTGATTCAAGCGATTTTACATCCATTGATCCGGCTCCTCCCCTCCCGCTTGCCGAACGATCCATCCCGGAACTGAAGCAAACGCTCCTCGATTCAAGCCTCCCACTCTTCAAAAGATACCGAGCCATGTTCGCCTTGCGCGACCTTTGTTCCCCCCCAGATTTACCCACAGCGGTTCCAGCAATCCAGGCGTTGGCCGAAGGTTTTCAAGATCGCTCTGCGCTGTTTAGACACGAGATCGCCTTTGTTTTCGGCCAACTTTCCCACCCTGCTAGCATTCCTAGTCTCACAGCCACGTTGAGCAATAAAGAGGAAGTTGGTATGGTTCGTCACGAGGCTGCTGAAGCACTTGGGAGTCTCGGAGCGGAAGAAGGGGTCGAGGAGATCTTGAAACAATTTCTCAAGGATCCTGAACAGGTCGTGAGGGATAGCATTATTGTTGCACTTGATATGGCTGAACACGAGAAAAGCGGGGAGCAGGAGTACATCTTATCGGAACAGGCGGTTGCAGCTTGACTCGTTGAAAGGTTCCCTCCCCAGCCAATAGCTAAAGTCGTCGACCTAGATTGATAGAAATCCTGTATACTCAGGTATATAATTTCAGTTGTTTGAGCTGAATCTAAATCGAGATATCATTAGCACTGTAAAGGCCCCTCTGGGTAAATGCAACAGTTTTATAGAAAACTGAGACCTACTTATGCCCACACTCGCACGAGTAAAAAACGGTAGTTCCTTCGTCAGCGCTTCGGAGCTGCAATGTGTGGAATCTCATCTCCGGGCGCCCACACTCAGGACAAGTCTGTTCAATAACCGCGTCTTTCAACTTATCCTCGGCGGTCAATGTTCGCACCGCGGATCGTTTCGATCTTAACGCAGATGGGAAAGCGTTTGGTTTCGATTCTGAGACGATTGTTTTCGAAGCAGTATCTGGGGGAAGTAATTAGATTAGTTTGTGCTTTTCTCAAGCAAAAGCTTTCTCGACATTCATGAGGCAAAAGTGAGGTTTGAATGAGACTGTACCTCGATTTTTCGTCCCGCACATGTCGCAAACTAGAGTTGCCGTCTCATCTCCAGTCGATTCGTTCAGTAGATTCCCGCAATCGAGACAGAAGACCAATGACCCAAGCGCCGACATATTGCCAAGTAGACCGAATAAATAGAGCGTCGATTTGCAAGCCCAAGCGTAGAGCCTAGACAAATCTGTTCAATAAGAACTTCTAATTCCTTGAATGTGATGGAAATTGGCTGCGTTCTTACACAAAAATTGTGATCAGAAAAGAGGCGTGGGTCAATTTATCAAGTAAAAATTAGCGTTTCTTTGGGAGCTGCCTTATTTCCGGGAGACTGACCCCCTACCACGAAGCTGTCCATTGAACCACAACCATGAGAACGGCATGCAAGTATTTGCGAGCCAGAGAATCATGCGCACGATAGTGTCGTCAGTTTGGTTTCTTCGCCCCCTTCCCGTCAGTTGTACATGGTGATCACTCAACTCTGCCACCATGCAGCAGCACCGGCAGCCGGGCTTGGAGGTGGTCATCCAGAGCAATGGCACCGGCTCCCATGCCTCCCAGCGGCTCCCGCGGCCACTTTCTGTGGATGAAGCTTTGCAATATTCTCCTATGACGAGTGCACCGGTGTTTGGACTTGGTATGTGAACCCCCGTGAAGCGCTTTCTTGGGTTTTGATAGCTTTTGCTGACCCCTCTAGACTCTGTCATGCGTCCAGATGTCGGCCGAACCTCACTTGCAGGATGGTCCCGCCCCTACGATAGCCAGGTTGCTGGAAGGATCATTGATAGTTTGGACAATGAGACACAAGCAAGCTCAGGATCCAGCGAATCTACCCGCCTTGAGACTGCTCGCGAGTATCTTCAACAACTTCTGAGGCAAGACGACTTGACGGAATTGTACGCCGCCTATCCTACTACTTTGTCAACCGCTCCGCTTACATATATTATAGCGAGTTCAGAGCCCCTTCCTTCCTCCGCTCCAGCTCTCCTTCCCAGAGGAAGGGTGAATCATTGAGCCGTAATCAACTCGGACCCTTTGCAAAACTGATACTAGATTCTACGGATGCTACATATTCCTGTATGTCATTATTATCCTGTCCTATTCCTTGCGTTTAACATTTCCCTCTCTAGATTCAACGCCGGTGACCCCAAATCCGGTCAAACAGCGTCAATCCTCAAAAGCGTTCCCTACTCCTCTTTCTTCCTCAAAGGCCCAGTACGCTAGCAAAATTGAGGTCCAAGTCCGTCAACCATCAGTAGCTGCAAGCCACTCATCGGAAAAATTGCCGAAGCCCATGGTTATAATCCCAAGCCTATCTCCGGCAACAAAAATAGATGACTTCAAATATATCTCTGATCTGGGATCTGTGAAACGCCGAAAAGTGGATTCTCAAAACGAAGAGAAACAAGACTCTTTGCCCCTTCGGGACCAGAAACAAATGTCAGATGCGGCTTTGGTTAAACTCCAAGCTCTCCTACATGAGATACTCGAAGCAGAAGAACAGCTGTTGCCAGATGCGCCTTTGGAGAGCCAAGCAAGTGGCAAGTTCTTCAAATTACCAAGCACCATAGGGGATATTGGGTCCCGTTTTGTCGTCCGAGGCACATTCGTTACTTTCAAAAGCCTTGCAAAAGGTGTCGGATTATCGGCGACTTGGAGATATTCCGACAGGCTACATAAAACGTATCCAAAAGCTCTGCGAAACTCCTATTATGTCAGCCCAGTCTGCCGATTTCAGATTAGGAAGTCCAGCATCTGATGCGGAAACCGAAAGGTGGATTAAGCAACTAGAAGACGTGCAAGATACATTGTTGGCCATGATAACATTGCTTCAAACTATGCCAGGTGATCAAAATACAAAAGATCTATGCCCTGAGGATCTAATTCAAGCGATTCCAGCCGCTCTCTCCCAGGTTTTTGATCACTGTATTATTCCGGTGGTTGAGTGCAGAGCAAGTGGCAAAGATTCTACACTTTTCACTGCTTTTTCTACACAAAAGCAAGTCCTTTCGAATGTATTACATCAAGCGAAGAGACTTTTAACGCGATTGTCTGTGTTCCTCTCGAAGGTCGACCTTGCAGAGGGGCCCATTACTGCGATAGAATTTCTCGCGGCAAAACTTATATTCGTGGAAAACGCCCCTAACGATAAGGAGTCTGCGATTGGAGTTCAAAAGTATGAAGCGCCAAGACGGGCCGCTATGGATGTCCTCGCAAAGATCTTTGCAAAATATCCAGACCAACGCGCTTTCATCCTCGATGAGATCCTTGTGTCTCTAGAAAAGTTGCCATCCAACAGACAGAGCGCGAGACAGTTTAAGCTTATTGATGGGAAGAGTATCCAGCTCCTTTCTGCTTTGGTAATACAGCTTGTTCAGACAACCGCCTTGCAACAATCTTCACCACGCTCAGCAGCGATGAAAGGCTCTTTGCAAAAATCAACAGGCGCGCTCGATGAAGATGATTCAGACGAGTGCTCTAACAGTGAGAACGAGAAAAAAGTATCTCCAATCAAACAGCTCTCAAGTCAAGTGGAGCCTCTCTATGACAATTCCATTCATAGTGCGCAATATGTCACTAAATTCATAGTACAGCGTGCGATGACATCAACAAAAACAGGGGATCAGCCTTATAGAAACCTTTTGGATATTTTCACTGAGGATTTGATAAGTGTGCTAGGGTCTACTGATTGGCCGGGAGCAGAATTGATTCTAAGAGTGCTCGCATCACAAATGATTACCATTGCAGACCATGATAAAAGTTCGGCAAATGCCAAAAACATGTCGCTTTGAGCTACTCGGTTGGATGGGATCCGCAATATCCGATCTGACTTCCACAGTGGCAACACCCTAAAGCCACCACTGTCGATGAATGGAAAACACCTGATATT